AAATTTGTATATAAAGTTAGATGGTAAATTAGGGGATATTATAAAAATTAGTGTATTATTTTTAAATTTTTAAAAATAAATATTGTTTAAATTATTTAAATCAGTGAATCGTAAAAATAAGGTTTGACCTATGGTAAATATTATGGATGTGTTAAAAGTAATATTAGGGGATTTAATTGAAAATACTTTTTTCCTTTTTTTGTGTAATACTAGGTGATTTTTTTTTTCTCCTCAGAGATAACGATGAACGATCGAATCATAATCATTTGTTCGTATGATGGGAAGATTAACTATCTCAAGAATAATATGCCTATATATGAAAGAGGTGTGACGAAACCATTGTTTATATCCAAATCATGTACTTTCGATGGACTGGTTAATGACTTACTGATAGGGGAATAAATAGATACATAAGTTACAAGTGCACAACTATTAAATTATAGTATAAAATATTATCGAATCTCACGATGAATGTAATGTATGAATTAATCAAAATTAATTTTTCAGGTTGTGTGTGTGACAATTTAGGAGTGAGGAAAGTGGTTGTGGAGAGATAAGGAGAGTGGATGTGATAATATGTAAATAAACATAACTAGTTAGGGAGGGGAAAAAAGATGAAGAAAATAAAGGAAAATAAAAATAAAAAACAAATAAAGAAAAATTAAGAATAGAGAGAAAAATCAAGAAAGTAAAATATGGAGGATTCAGTTAAAGATATGAGGAATCTACAATTGAATCCACTATTCAATTTCACTTATAGATTACGAACTATTCACTTGTTATCACATTTTACTTTATATTTATTAAGTATAGACTATCAAACCACCTAAGAAAGTATAACCTATCGAATTATCATCTAAGTAAAATTAACATTCATGATAAAAATAACAACTAGGTAGTAATTCTAGAATTTATAAGCATAACCCATCAAACCACTAAAGATAAACATAGATTATGAAATTTTTCTTCTACCAATTAGTTCTCTAGTTGATTATCCTAAGCATGATCATTTTAAGCATAAGAGAACAATTCATAAGTTATAAAATAAATCAAACTAGTTTCATACAATTCTAGAATTTCTACAATAATTACTTCCACATCTTAGAAAATAAATATAAATACATAAAATCTGTGCTAGAGAGAATAAAAGAAAGAGAATAAAAGTAAAAACTAATTCCCTAGAGGGCTCTAGCCTCTTAGAGAATAAAAGGAAAAGAATAAAAATAAAAACTAATTCCGAAGAGGTTTCTAGCCTCTTGAAAATAATACAAGAAAATAAAATCTAAACTATGCAAGAAATAAGTCTATACTAAAAATTAAAGACATGAAAGAAAATCTACTCCACAATGCATCAAAATAAATCTAAAACAAGAGGGTTATAGCCCCTTGAATATCTAAAATAAGGGGAAAAAATATTACAAGAAAATAAAAGATAAAAGATAAAATTGACATTGTACGAGGATTTTAGCCTCTTGAAAGCAAACCTTCTTCTTCATCTTCATATTCATCTTCATTATTAAACAAAGAGAAGAAAAGAAAAATATAAGGAAGTGAAAATTTTCTTTTGTTAGTTGCAATAAAGTACAATTTTGGAAGGTATTCTAAATTAAGAATAATCCTCCTCTCCAAATAGAGTTATTACAAAAAAAATCACAGTCTAACCTCTCACTTTCTACCCCTATTGATAGCCTACAACAGGAAAGAAGAATCGTTGGATTTTACTTAGGCTCCAAGGATTAAATCTTGCCATAAAATAAGTTTGTTATGAATCAATTAGTTGGTCAATCGATTGTCCAATCGGTTGTCGAAATGATTAAAATTCTAAAATCTAAAAATGTAACTAGCCCCGTCTCATCGAGATAGGCGATTTTTATATATTATATGTTAAATTTTGCCTTCCAAATTGAGAGATATCGTCGTTTCTTTGTGGCTAATCATCTTGAACATGATTTGACTTGATTTCTTTTCATATTGAATCCTTTTTTCTTCGGCTTCTGTAGTACTTGGCTTGATCCTGTGCTTTAATAAAAATGTTTAAAAAATAAGGAAATTTGAGTTCTTTTTGAGCTATTATTCATTACTTTTTATTAACCCATAAATTAAGATAAAACATATTTATCAGTGACATTTTTATTTAAACAAAATAGATAATAAGGGTATAAAAATATAAAAAAAATGTGATTATCACTTACACAAGCTTACCTTAACCAATCTATATGAGTATAATCTCAACATGATTTGCAATTATCTTGTTACATGGAACAGAACAAAGCGGTATTCAAATCTCAAGTGACTACGGTATGTAAGGGTGCATTCGGCCCGTATACGGCTTGGATATGATGCTTAACATATCCATATCCGCTTATCCATCTCGGATATAGATACAGATAGATATGAATATACCTCGGTAAGAAAAATTCATATCCATATCTGTTAAAATAGGACCTGATTACGGATATACATATAGATACATAAGCGGATATGCATGCAGAATCAAAACATATATGAGAAAACTAGATAGTATTGAGAAAAATTAGTTCATGTGATACAAAAGAGTTCGTTAATATGTTCATTATAACTGAAACGTTAAGATTTGACATCTTGATCATCAACATTAATCACAAATTCATAATCTAAGAATCGAAACTATCACAAGAGTATGACTAATATGTATTCAGATATTTCAGATACAAATACAGATATTTTACTATAAAACTATATCCACAACCATATGTAACCAAACAAAAGAAAATGAAAACTTGTTATTTTTATAGAGTAATGGATCCATTTTCTTGTTTTGAACACACAAAAAAATAGTACTTTTTGATTTCTCAAAACTTATCCTATAATTTTTTAAGAAATATTAAAAAAAATCTATATTTTGGGTGTTTTCCTTTTCCTATGGGTCTGTTTGTTTCGTTTCCCTCAGAATCCAAAACCCATTTTCCTTCACTTTTTCACTTTCCCCCACTTTCCAAAACCCACTTTCCTTCACTTTCTTAATTTTCCTCCAATAATATTGTGACAATTCATCCCATCACATCTCATTTCATACTTTTAAAAATAAACAAAACACAAGAAATGAGTCATATCAATCAACTCATCTAACTCACTTTCCCCCACTTTTCTTGGACAAATTTTCAAAATCGACCGTTTTCCAAAGTTAATCTGCAAAATTGACCGTTAAAAAAAAAATTAGCAAAATCGACCCTTTTCTTCACGGGACTACCAGTCCCGTGCAGAAAAGGGTCGGTTTTGCAACTTTCAAACTGAACGGGTCCCGTGCAGTGCAGTTCTCTCCAAAAATCCCAAGCCCCCAGCCGAAGCCAATCCACATCTCCCCCACCTTCATCACATCTCCTCATCATATCTCCTCCTCCCTGCCTTGATCCCCCACCCCAATCCCCCACCCGGTGGTTAGGGAGGAGATGAAGGGGAGCTCGGGGGAGGAGGCTTGGCGAGCTCGGCGATGGCGAGGCGGCAGTTCGGGGCGACGACGAAGCTCGTGGAGGTGGGGTTGACGGCGACGGGGAGAGAGGAGTTCAGGGAGGCGAACAAGGAGGCTCGGCGTGGTCGGAGGTCGGAGCTCGAGCTCGCGCGGAGGAGGTGAGCTCTCCCTGCCTTGATCCCCCACCCCAAGCCCCCACCCGGTGGTTAGGGAGGAGATGAAGGGGAGCTCGGGGGAGGAGGCTTGGCGAGCTCGGCGATGGCGAGGCGGCAGTTCGGGGCGACGACGAAGCTCGTGGAGGTGGGGTTGACGGCGACGGGGAGAGAGGAGTTCAGGGAGGCGAACAAGGAGGCTCGGCGTGGTCGGAGGTCGGAGCTCGAGCTCGCGCGGAGGAGGTGAGCTCAGGGCAGAGCTCGGGAGAAGGGCGGCGGTCGTTGGTAGTTGGCGGATCTTGGGCGAGGTGGAGAGGACTGGTCGGAGGAGTGGATCTTGAGGGCGGAGAGGTTTGTGCTTGCGATGGGGGATGAAGGCAGGGAGGAGGAGATGTGATGAAGGTGGGTGTAGATGTGGATTGGCATCGGGTGGGGACTTGGGCTTTTGGGGAGAACTGCACTGCACGGGACTGCTAGTCCCGTGCAGTTTGAAAAATGCAATACCAATCTTTTTCTGCACGGGACTAGTAGTCCCGTGCAAAAAAAGGTCGATTTTGCTAATTTTTTTCTTGAACGGTCGATTTTGCCGATTAACTTTGAAAAACGGTCGATTTTGAAAATTTGTCCACTTTTCTTCATTTTCTATCATCTTTAAAAATTACTTACATCATCCAATAATATGGTGACAACTCATCACATCTCATTAAAATTTTCTTCCATCCATTTCCTCCAAAAAAACAAGGAAATTGATTTTCCTAAGTATGTGTCACATCATCCAATAATATAATGTCAACTCATCTCATCTCATCTATTTTCCCCCACTTTTAAGAATGAACCAAACACAAGAAAAGAATCTAAACAAGGAAAGTGGAGGAAAACATAAAAAATTACTCACACTTTCGGTTATAGCTTTGACGAACCAAACCTCTGAAAGTGGAGGAAAACATCAAAATTCACCTTAAAATGTTTTCTTTTCCCCCCACTTTCGGTCTTTTTTTTCCCGTAACAAACAGACCTATATAATTTATAGAAATTGAACTAAACACCGCCCTAAAAATACAAGTAAAGAGGTTATATGTAAAAAGTACAAAAGAAATCCAACCCATCCGATCCTGATCGATCAGAACTAGCACGTATGAACACGCAACCGTCTATATTCTAAATACAAGGGCAATTTCGCCAATGCACATAAGCAAAATGCCTGATTAGCTTAATGATAATCACGCGGTTATCCGCGTCAAACCCAAGGGCCAATCAAAAAACAAGAAAATGACATGGCAATCCGAACTTACATTAGGCATCAAATCTCGTCCGTCAAAGAAAACACAAAGAAAGCAGATCACGGCCGTTCGATTAAAGCACGCTGACTTGGAAAAAAACTATAAATAGAACCTCGCCTCCCCGTCGTCTCACTTTGGATTTCTTGGCGGAAGAGAAGAGAGAGAAAAATCTGAGGTACGTCTCCTTCCTTTCCTCCTTTTTCATTCCTAGATTTATCTTTTAAATTATTTAATTAAATACTTGGTTAGGTATTTGAATCCTCCTTTGGTTTTGATTCTTCGTCTGGTTCATGATTTGGGGTCGGTTATCGTTGTTTTCTTGGTAGATTAGGGTTATTATTAGTTCGTGAAATCTAAAATTTGGGGGTTTTCCCTGGGATTTGAATTTTAGGTACTTTCTTTGGTATTTGTCACGTTTTATAGTCGAAATTTAGGGTTTTGGGTCTGTTTCTAATTAGTCCTTCTCGTGATCTAGGGTTTCTGTTAATATTTAAGGTTAGGGCTTCTGCTGCCAAAATCTTGCGCTTTGGTTGTTTTTCTTTTCCCGTTCTTGGTTTTTCGATCTCTTTTAGTGCTAAGATTATCGCAGTCTGTTAATTTTGTAACTCATGGTGTGCTTTGGAGATTTAATTATAAATTATGGTATCGGAACCTTCTGTTGATGTCTTAGATAAAGAATATGGGTTATGACTCATCTTTATTTGGTGACATGTATTTGGATACGTCTGCTAGATTGTTTTTTGGCTATGGTATTTATGAATTTAGTTGTCTTAATTTAGGGTTATTCTGTTAATAACTCATTTATTGGATTATTCTCTTAATTGCATGTTCCAGATGAATATGCGAACTATTTTCATTGTTTTCTTGTATATACCGACGTGTTTTGGTTTTTTTTCATTGAACAGATGGCTCGTACTAAGCAGACTGCTCGCAAATCAACCGGAGGGAAGGCTCCAAGGAAGCAGCTTGCCACCAAGGTTTGCTCATCAGTTATCTTTAATGGTTAGCATTCATTATTAATTTCAGTGTGTTACGTCTTAACACGGCGATGCTTTTGGTTACAGGCTGCACGCAAGTCTGCCCCAACTACTGGAGGAGTGAAGAAGCCTCATCGCTACAGGCCTGGAACTGTTGCTCTTCGGTAAGTTATTGGTGTGTCTTGTATCTTATTGTTTTATTCTTTGTTAATTTCTCTGTTTGCTGTTATTATGTGTTACTCTGGGTTCGTATTCTGAATTTGCTATTCATGGTTTGGGTGGTTGTAGTGAAATTCGCAAGTACCAGAAGAGTACTGAGCTTCTGATCAGGAAGCTGCCCTTTCAGAGGCTTGTCAGGGAAATTGCTCAGGACTTCAAGGTTTGCGCTTGGCATCTTCTGATTCTCTACAGTTGTGATGCAATCTATGGTTTGATATGTGTATTAACTATGTTTTTCTCTCCTTTGTTTTTCAGACTGATCTGCGCTTCCAGAGCCATGCTGTGCTAGCTCTGCAGGAGGCTGCCGAAGCATACCTTGTTGGGCTCTTTGAGGACACAAATCTCTGCGCTATCCATGCCAAGCGGGTCACCATTATGCCCAAGGACATTCAGCTTGCCAGGAGGATTAGAGGCGAGAGAGCTTAAGTTTGCCTGGCTCTCTTCCCTGGCTTTTGTGGAGTGACTTGAAAAGTTTCGCTGCAGCTAGTTGCCGCTTATTTCTGTAATAGAACCATGTTATGTAGCTTTCATTTTGAACCCCATAGCTTTAGTATGTAGCTTAGTGGTGGTTGTGCTTTCTTTTGTTGCTGGATTTCGTGGACTGTGCCTCTGATTACGCTCTCTGGTCTAATGTTAAAGACTTCAATAGCATTGTAAGACATCTTGGTTCCTCCCATCACCTGAGCGATGGTTTTTACTGATGCTAAATAGTAGTTGGTTGATACTTGCAACTTATATCAGTTTATCATGCGGGTTTTGGTTATGTTATTTGTTCACGTATGATCAAGTAGCCTTTCTTCACCAGGATGCTTCTATCTTCATCAGGAAGCTTCTATCAGTTTACCCTGTTTTGTTTTTAATTCTGTTATTTGTTCACGTATGATCAAGTAGCCTTACTTCTGCAGGATGTTAAATAGTAGTTGGTTGATACTTGTAACTTCTATCAAGTTATTTGTTCACGTATGTGGGTTTTGCGTTCGTGCGGCCTGGTGATTTGGTGAACTGCTTGTAATGGAGGTGCTGGGGATTGGAGTTGATTTTTTTTTTTTTATTTCGCCCTGCCAAGTGTGGTTTAAAACCTCTTCATGCTAAATTGCGAACGAAAATTCAAAACCCTCTCATGCTCTGATGGAAGTCCTAAAGAATCCTTTCTTTTTGGGTTCCAAGTATGCTGTTGTTGGTTTCCTGGCTACGACGATAACAATAGTGTATGAGACTGCTGGAGCAGCGTCTCTTGCGCTCCGGGCGTGGTTTGTTAAACTCGGGTAACTGTAGACAATGTCAAAATTCTATCTTCGTTTGGTACGATGATGTGTCGATTATGGTTTGGGTAGTAATTATTATGTTGAGGTTGGGTTTGGTATTATGAACTCCCCCAGCAGGGTAGGGGCTCGTTGATGACTACCAATCTTGTAAATAGCCCGGACGATATCGTGATGCTGGCCATCTCCAAGATCCGAGCTCTTGCCCGTCCCCATCTCGAAAGATGTCTTTGCACCCATGTTCAACAAGCCTCCGCGCTCTCCCCCCACCAAGTCTTCCAGCACAACCTCCACATCAAGCGTCTCTCTGGTGCTGGCAATCTCTCTGCCGCCCGCAAACTGTTCGACCAAATGCCCAACAGGGATACCGTCTCTTGGAACTCTATCATAACCGCCTACTGGCAGAACAATGACATCGAAGAATCCAAGAAGCTGTTCAATTTAATGCCCGAAAGGAACATCGTCTCTTGGAATTCGATGGTCGCGGGGTGCCTTGAAAACAACATGCCTGACGAGGCATTTCATTACTTCAGCCGAATGCCAGCTAAGAACGTGGCTTCTTGGAATGCCATGATATCTGGGCTTGTGAAATTTGATCGAGTGGAAGAGGCACAGAGGATGTTCGATGAAATGCCTGAGAGGAATGTGATTTCTTATACGGCGGTAATGGATGGTTGGGCAAGGAGAGGGGAGGTGAAGAGAGCCAGGAAACTGTTTGATGGGATGCCGAAGAGGAATTTGATATCGTGGGCGGCGATGATAAGGGGTTATGTGGAGAATTCAATGTTGGAGGAGGCGGAATGGCTCTTCGAAAGGATGCCTGTGAAGAGCATCATGGCTGTCACAGCGATGATTACAGGGTATTGTACTGAGGGGAAGGTGAAGAGTGCGAGGAGTTTGTTTGATGGGATAAGGGAGAAGGATCTCATCTCTTGGAATGCAATGATGTCAGGTATGATTAAACAAAGGTTTCACTTTGAAGTTATGCAGAAAAACATGAAACCTACGAATGGTTTATAACTTCATTGGTTACCGGATACTCGTATCGTGAATTATATAGCAGCGTGTTTCAATTTGTATTCACCTTCATAGAAACTAATGTCTGATTCTAGGCAACGCAGAAGATCTAAACACTTCAGAAAGTTTTTAATAACTCCATCAATTCCATGACAGTTATAAACACAGTTCATATCCCTCTTCTAGTTCGAATTGTTATTTTTTCCCCACCTTAATCAATCAGCATCCGCCAGTTAGTCCACTAAGCTTCCATGTTCTCCAGCTATTTAAAAATAAGAACATTAAAAGGCAATTAATCTAGTTTAATACTAACCCAATTTCGTAATCTATACTTAATTTGATGGTAATGGGTACCTTGGAAAAGCCTAATGCCATTGTCACTAATTGCCTATCTTACAAACTTGCAGATCTATCGAAAAAATTACCGTGGGTCAATGAGTGCTATTTAACATTTAATCGTGATTCCTGACTTATTTATCTTCTCTCCGGTTGGACATTAGACCATGAATACCACGCCTTTAGAGAACTAAATATATAGACTAAATCATAATTGCATTGTTGTTACATTTTTTTAATTGTGACAGCTATACGTAAGGATCAGCATTTTTTTCATTTATTTTAAAGTTTCAGTAAGACAGGTTGAAATGAAGGATGAATGTAGTGGATTCGAGGCACAAGAGAAAACACCAAGGGACTTATATTTCACATATATTAGAAAAGAAAAATATGAACGCCCGATTTCAAAAATCTCAGTTTCTGTTGCATCTTGATGCATCTCTCTTTTTTCTGCAGGATATGTAAATAACGAGCACAATGAAGAGGTCCTAAAGCTTCACAGTGAAATGTTAGCTTCAGGCATCCAGCCAGATCACACAACCCTCATCCTAGTTCTGATGGCATGTTCTTCTCTTTCCTTGCTCCAACAAGGAAGACAAACTCATGCCATTGCAATTCAGACTAGCTTGGATTGTAATGTCTCGCTTAGTAATGCTCTGATGACAATGTATAGCAAATGTGGTAGCATTCATGACTCAAACTATACATTTCAACTAACTTCAAACCGTGATGAGGTCTCTTGGAACACCATAATAGCAGCTTGGGCACAACACGGCCATTATGAGAAAGCTCTTAATTTATTTCAGGAAATGGAAGCAAGTGGATTTAAACCGGGTGGAATTACCTTTCTCAGCATCTTATCGGCTTCTAGACACACAGGGAATGTAAATGGGAGTCTACATATTTTCAATCTGATGGCAGCAAAATATAAAATCTCTCCACAATCTGAACATTATGCTTGCCTTGTGGATATACTAAGCAGAGCAGGCAAGTTAGAAAAAGCATATGAATGTATCAAAGAGATGCCATTTGAAGCTGAAGCTGCTGTTTGGGGTGCTTTTCTTGGAGGCTGTCAAAAGTACTCAAATGTAGAGTTAGGGGAATTAGCTGCTGAAAAGCTTATACAATTGGATCCTCATAACTCGGGCACTTATATAATTTTGTCGAATATTTATGCCAAGGCTGGCTTATGGAGAGGAGTTACTCGGCTGAGGAGTTTGATGAATGAGAAAGGAGTCAAGAAACAACCTGGTTATAGTTGGATTGAGATAGCTGGTAGGCTTCATTTTTTCTTGAGAGGAGATACTTCGCATGCTGATATAGATAAGATTTATTCTGAGGTTGAAAGGATTGGTTTGCATATGGAGAAGATCTTAGGCGAAGATGGTGTATGAACAACAACCTTATTGACGCATCCTTTTCCAGTAGCACCATCAACTACCTACTTCAAGCTGTTGCCGTGTGTTTCACATGTAAATGAAGATTAGATTTCCCTAATTGATGAATCATGTAAGGTAGGGGTATTTCATATTTCTAATTTGAAAGACAGTGGGCGTTTTATGAATTAAGGCTCACTTCAGGTGCTGATCCTTGCAGAAGTGTACGAGGAGAGCAAAAGATGTTACTGGAAATTCATTCAACCTGGTAAAAAGAATACTTTGCTCAAAAGGCTTCACTATTATCTAGTAGTGTGTGGGAATTGGCACCATAACGCTACTCTATATTAAACAGTGACTTATTCTGCTGTGGAGCGAGAGTTGGTTGTTGTTTGACATAAGAGAGATTGTAAAATTATAAGATGAAGATTTACTGTTTTGAAGAAGAGCATCACAAAAGTAACCTGAAAATTCCTCTAGAAACTACAATATGTAGGAGTTCTATGTATAGAGGGATGTAGGAATTTCTCCCCTGAAATATTCAATCAACACTACCCGGTCATTTTGCTTCTATCTTATTAAAATATTCAATCATAACACCCAGTCATTTTGTTTCCATCTTCATAATGCAAGGTGTTTTTCTTATATATACTTGATCCCAATATTTACTTTTTTAGCTTAAGAACATAGAATTGATACAGATCACTTGCATACTACACTTCCATATATTCTTTTAACAACCATTTATTCCATTTATACGCATTATGCATATATTAAGGTAAATAATATATGAAGTGTTAACTTTCAATCTAATTTNCTCTATATTTTTGTTTTTCTTATTTCGACAGCCTGCCTCAGACGAGGTGATTGATTTGATGGAATGGATTTTTTTTTTCTTTTTCTTCTTTACTACAAAACTCTAATATTCTAGGCAACTCCAGGCCAAAGCGTAGATGAACACCAAACATGTAGAGATTTCCAGCGATCCCCTGCGCTACGATAATCATAGAGGGGCATCTTCGCAGAATGACAACGTGGTGAAGGACGCTGAGAATATATTTTGTTTCATGCAGATAAAATCCTGATCACGGGATCAAGATCATGACTCAAGTCTTTTTATTTTATTTTATTCACAGGAACAAGTCACGAGCGGGAATTCGAAGGATTTTTGGAGTTTTCTGAACTCAAGATATGGGCTTATATATTCATGGGGATCAAGTGAAAAATTTCAAACTTTCGGAGTTCTCCGGAATTGCCAAACTTATAAATGGTATAAGCGAGAGTTTCAAGCTTTTTTAGGAGTTGTCAAAGGTCCAAACGCACTAAGGCTTTGGTTTTTCCCTTTTTTTTTTTTTTAGGAACTAGCTAACTACCTACTCTTCAATTGCACATTCTCGCTCGCCTTAGACTTTAGTATCACCATCACTTCTTTGAGATACTTATAGATGAGGGTTTTAGGTTGTTGAGCGTTGTCTCTTCTGTAACAACTATGACAGAATGAGCTACAAAGTTATGCATATTGATCCATGAGAACTTTTTGCCTATAACAAAAATCTTTAACTATAGTAATTAAGAATGGTAGGAATGTGTCATCTACATATTCATTTCATCCAACCAAAAGAAAATAACTTGGGTACTAAGAACATTAAAGTAAATAGTAGAGTTAGACTAATATCACGCATGTTATGTCATTTCCCATTCTATTCAGAGATTATTATGATTGTTCCACTATCATGCCCTCTTTAAAATTATGAGTTCTAAAAAACTTTTCATGATCAATATTACCCTTAACTCTTTTGAATATTATATTTTAATCATAATATATCCTAATTATCCGATACAAACTTTAAATATCCTATTACCCTTGACACTTTTTGGATGTTACATTATAATCTAATCGTAATTAATGATTATATCTTTATTAACAAAATTTGTGGTTTTGTTCCTATTGGCTGTTAGCTAATGTTGATAAGGAAATTCAAATGATCTCAGTAAGTTTCTTTGCCTAGCTTATTTGATTATAATCCAATTTGTTCTAGAATTAAAGTTCTTACTTTATGCAAAGTCTGAAAAATAAAAATGTGTAGCTATATATATCATGGGCTGGGATAGAAATTTGAGACAACTGCAGTAATTTGGAACATAGATCACTCATCTCTATATTTTGAACCACAAGATAATTAAATTATTTGGCTATTGATATTTGTATTGGCTCTTTGCTTCCTCTTCGCTTGAGAGAGATTATATTAGATTTCTTGTAGTGTGATTTGGAATTAGTGATTTGAACCATAAACTACCTGTGTGTATTATCTTGTTTATATTTTCTTTGTTTCTTGTGTGATTGATATTTGCTTATCAGGGGATTTATCATAACACATTAAAATCACTAAATTACCAAACCCATATTTGAAAATGAATCAACAAAATATTATTTTATTTATTTGATTCGTATTAGGATTATTCAATTTTGATGTTGCAATTTATGAATTACAGTTCAAACTACACACATTAGTCTGTCAATGCCATAAATGTCCTGAACTCGACATATTTTGAAAGCGATATGGAGACTACCGAGTCCCGATGATCTTTATATTTTGGAAGATGTAGAGATTTTCGTAGTAGCATCTCTGTTATATAGGATTTCATTCTCGGTATATTCCTTCTCATTAATATCTCATAAACTAATTTTTTTCTTAAAATTGTATGCCTTTGTTCATCGGTCCCCTAAATGCCAAAATATACACGATAGGATTTGATGAGATTTGTGAAGGACAAAGACAGTTCACAAAGTGTTTCAGATCTTATTACCATATTCTTTTGCTTATGTGATCCTATAAAACGTTTTGAGCATGGAAACATCGACTTTAGCCACTTATTATTTAGTACCAATGTATATGAAATACCTCCTTAAGTATAAATACATATGATACAATCATATCCACATCCAACCTCATTTCCTCATTTTAAATTCACTAGTATAACATACGTGCGTTGCACGTAGATGGTTTTGTTTCAAAGCAAAAAAATAATATTCTAAGTAATGTGTCATATTTTCAAGAGTATTTACTTATGGTTTGGATCCTATACAAGGAATAATAAGTAGTTATTAGAGAGACTCTAATTATCTTATACCACTTTCCTAGATGAGACATATGAATTTTTTGTCTTTCCTTTTTTTTCCTAATCTTTTTACATTATAAATGGACTCAACTCATATTATTTTATTTGTATATTATAGGTTTTATATATTAGTCCCTTAAAGCTTTCATGTTTTGCAATAAGCTCCTCAAATCATTAAAAATCAATTTTAGATCTTCTCATTTTTTATTTACTCTAAAATTAACTGCTAAAATCGTTGAAATTGTTATTAAATCCCCTAATTCTCACAAGTTATTTCAAATTAATCACTCGAATTGTACATCTACCCTTTATTGGATGGATTAATTTCAAAATAATTTAAGAATTATGTGTCATAATAGGAGTTTCACTAATTTGAGAGACTAATTTCAAAGTAAGTACGAAGTTAGCGCCTTATAGTAATATGAAATATTTTAAGGAGTAATATTGAAAAAAAGCCATTATTTTTTTTGAACAAATGGATTCTCATAAGTATCCTTCAACCATGTCTTCTATCTCTGTTCACATGGAACAAAGAGGGAGAAGAGGTAGATGGTAAGTGCAATCACATATGTTCTCATGAATCCGTAATGGATCTTATGAATTTGGTGGTTTCTCCTATTGGATGGGTTTATAGTTGGTCATTAAGAAGACTCCTTAATTATAGCAATGAATGATCAAATATTTTTTAGATAATATATGCAGTAAGTTCAAAGTCATTACCAAAATAAACTTCCATTTGTAATATTCGAATTCTCATTCCGCATGATTTAGAATACAACCATTTCCACATACAACAATAATTCTTGTCATGCATTTATCGAATTCTTTTGTAAACAAAGATTTTTAAGTAAAATATGGATCAAATTAGCATGCAACTACATTTTATGTGTATTAAATATGGAGAAACATGAAAAATGTATATTCATATATAAGCAAAACATTTCCTATTATTCATCGGCAACGCAACAAGTCCCTTGTTAATACTCTTGAACTGCATGCACATTCCCATCTTGAATCATTGCAATAGTAGGCTTCATATGCAGCAGATCCAACTGCAATAGCCTCCTCATCCCCATCAATAACCACGATGGATACCCCTCCTCCCCAATTGCCGCCATAGTCGCTTCTGTTGACCTCGCGTTTGTCGTCAGCTCTACTAACGACTTTGTCCAATGTTTTATTCCTCGATGACAGATTTGTTGATCTGGAGGATGGCGATTTAGTTGGCGGCATGAATGATGTGGCTAATACTGACCTCTAAGGTTGTTTTTATTAGGCGACATGGATGTGAGTAATGGCAACCCTAAGAACATTTTCTATTAGGCATCACAAATGTGGGTAATGGAAACCCTAAGAAGTAAGAACATTTTCTATTAGGCATTTGACTGTTGTCAATGTTGTGCATATATAGAAGAGAACAATTAAGGTAAAAGATTGAAGATATTAGTCATTAGAGGTAGGAACTAGGGTAGGAATGGAGCTTTGGGTTTAAGGTAGTAGGTATATAGGAGAGGAGAATGAGTGTTATAGATGATAGAAGCTCAAGGGTTGTACGATTAAATTTTAGATCAATGGGACATTAAAGGGAGTAGTGGTGACATTATGGTGATGATTAAATGAATAATTGGTGTGTTTTCAGTAGGAATAATAAGTGTGGAGGTTACAATGGTGATGGGTGTTTAATGGGGTTGATAGAGAATTTAAATGGATAATTGTATGTGTGTTCATGTATGTATGGATGGATGTGTAGTAAAGGTTAATTATCACACTATATTGAGTATATTTATGTGATCATGTATGTATATGTGCATTTGTTTGAGGGCATTTTGGGTAGAAATGTTTTAACATAACAACCCACTTTTATAATAGTATTAGATTTATTTTTCACTTGCATTTTTCATGTCCATTTTTTCCTCTCAAGTTCTCCTACTGCTGCTTATATAGTTCATTTTTTAAATATATTTACGAAAGCTTGCATCTGCTTTATTTAAATTATATTGTTATCGATGAGTCTTAAACGACACAAAATTCCACATATTGTTATCGATGAGTCTTAACAATAACGTTCGACATATTCCAATGAAATCTTTAAAGAGGAAAGGTAATGACATTGCCAACAAAATATTACAAGTAGCAAACTACAATGTAAATTTAACTAAAAATTTAATGGACATATTGCAATTAAATTCATATGCAAAATTCCTTTGCGAATTGAATGATCACCTATTTTTTAAAGACTTCAAGATACTAATAAATAGAGATGTTGTACTAGATTAATGTGTTTATAACTCAAAAATAGTAGATCACGTGGCCACAGTCCGGGTTAAAAAACAATGATAATATTTTATTTGAGAGAGATTATTGAGTTGATGATCAATCCCACACAAAAAAGTTTATTTTCTTTTTTTATTTTAACTCTATTTTTATCAATTTAAATAATCATGATATTCAAATTACATAGAAGAAAATGAAGGCTACTACATGGTTGTCCTTAAGTTCGATATCAAACATGAGAAGTTTGAAGTTACGTCGATCGCTCATACCCCCACTTAGGAGAGATTGTTGTATAACTATACATGAACTAAGAAGGCATGTTTGCGTTGCGCTTGTTACATATAAAAAACCTCAGGTGAAGATATGGATGCTCAAGGATAACAAGAATTAGATTGAGATGTTGAGCGTCTGTACCGAAAATTGTCGAGAGAGTTGCTTAGGTTCACCACAATTACCCAAAGTTATCAGTATTACTGATGACAAGATTCTGTTCGAGTATCGTAATTATGGAAACTATTCAAGCAGATTATGTAGTCATGACTTTGAGCATGATACTTGCACTCCAATCCTAAATGAAGTTGTTCCATGTCTTGCTTCGTACTCGAAAAGTCTCCACCATAAAAACTAGTGTATATGTATATATAGATTAATGAGTATCCTTTTCATAGGAGGGGATTTCCCTCTTGGTGCTTATGTGGCACAATCCCCACCATCCTCATAAAGTAGGAGAGAGAGTGTGAGTTGGTGGGGATTTGTGCCTCCTTACATGGTGTTTTTAATTTGGGCCAATTATTCTCCTAGATGCTCATTCTAATTAATCTAAATAAAAAATAATATTTATTTGTTCTTTATCATATTCATGCAGGTAACATTGTCAGATTTTAAAGTATCATCAAATTGAAAGTGCAAGGCAAAAATCAGGTTTTATTGGTTCTTTAATTTTAAGCATTTTAGGGGTCTATATTTTCTATAATTTGAATATACATATGTTTGCTAGAAAATATGAGTCTGGATATGCAACACGTATGAAAAAAGAAAAACAGAAAAAATTATTCAATCTCAAAAAGGAGCACTTGATAGGTTTGTTACTAACACTACAATCAAAACTCAGAAAAACCAATTGAAAATTTAAATAAAAAAAACAATTGAATTTTCACTAGAAGATGATACTTTATTAGGACAAAAAGAAATCTGCCAAGAACTTTCTAATAATCATAAATCTAATTCACCAAATATTAATATTAACGAAGAAGATAATAATAATCTAGAAGAAGATGAATTAGTTGATCAAGAAGATAAATTTTTTAATGAAATTGACAAAACTATTTTTAAAAATATATATGATCCAACACAATAGGAAGACATAAATACAAATTTAATAGATTTATTAGTTGAAAAAAGGTCCAATTAGAGAAACCAATTTATGTTTTCCAAACGATGAAAATTCTAGACACTTTTCTCCTGTTCATTACATTCGAAAATTACCAAATGGAGAAAAACATGATAGGAGATGGATAGTATATTCAAAAGAATTAGATAAAGTATTTTGCTTTTGTTGTAAATATTCAGTAAAAAATCAATTACAATTCAATTAGCATACAAAGGATGTCAAGATTGGAAAAATCTTAGTGCCAAGCAGTGAACATATTATAAATATGAATATTTGATTTGATGTTGAAATGAGATTACTTAAAAATAAAAATATTGAACAAAATTTACAAGAAAAGATAAACAAGGAAAAAAGAGCATTGGAGGAATGTATTAGTAAGAATTATTGTTGTAGTTAAAAATCTTGCAAAAAATAATTTGGAATTTTGTGGCACAAATGAGAAGATTTATCAAGATAACAATGGAAATTTTTTAAGTTTAATTGAAATGATTGCAGAATTTGATCCTATAATGCAAGAACACCTTAAATGTATTCAAAATGGTGAAATTCATAATCATTACCTTGGCCATAACATACAAAATGAGTTAATAAATATATTAGGATCAGAAATAAAAAGTAATATAATTAAAAAAAACAAAAGAAGCAAAATACTTTTTAGTTATACTTGATTGTACCCCAGATATAAGTCATCAAGAACAAATGTCTCTTATATAAAGATGTGTAGATATTTCAACAAATCCAATCAAAATAGAAGAGTATTTTTTAGAATTTTTAAAAGTGGATGATACGTAAGGGAAAGGTCTTTTTGATATGCTTACTAGTGTAATAAAAAAGTTTAAACTTGATATAAATGATATATGAGGACAAAGATATGATAATGGGTCTAATATGAAAGGTAAACAACAAGACGTACAAAAGAGATTGTTAGATATAAATTCTAGAGCTTTTTATACACCGTGTGGTTGTCATAGTCTTAATTTAGTGCTTTGTGATATGACTAATTCTTGTCCTAGTGCTATAATATTTTTTGGTGTGACACAACGTATGTACTCATTATTTTCTTCTTCTACAAAAAGATGGAAAATTTTGCAACACCATGTTTCTAATTTAACTCTTAAACCCTTGTCACAAACACATTGGGAAAGTCGTCTTGAAAGTGTTAAAGTAATAAAATACCAAGCTCCACAAATAAGAGATGCTTTATATCAACTAGCAGAAGTTAGTGATGATCCTACAACAAAAAGTAAAGCAATTTCTTTAGCAACATATGAGATTGAAAATTTTAAATTTTTATTAGGTATGATTATTCGGTATGATATATTGTTTGCAGTTAACACTGTTAGTAAATTTTTATAATATAAAGATATGAATATTGCCATTGCATTAGATCAGCTAAAAGGTCTTGTTTCATTTTTTTAATAACTATAGAGAAAATGGGTTCACATCTGCTATGATTTGTGCTAAAGAGATTGCCAATGAAATGAATGTAGAACCAAAATTTCGTGGGAAAACGTGTAATTAGAAGAAAGAAACAATTTGATGAGAATGAAACTAATGAGGTAAGACTTTCACCTGAAGAATCTTTTAAAATTAATTATTTTAACTATATAGTTGATCATGCCATTTCTTCGCTTCGAATTAGGTTTGAACAGTTTAAGATATATGAAGATAATTTTGATTTTTTGTATGATGTAGAAAATTAAAATTGCTTAGTGATGATTTTCTAAAAGAAAAATGTTTGCATATTGAATTTTTTAAACATGACATGTTACCTGATATTGATGGTTTAGATTTATTTTTAAAACTAAAAGTTTTAAAAGAAATAATAAATCCTGAATTAAAAACAACACTTGAGATACTAAACCTTATAAAAAAATTAAATTCTTTTCCCAATGCATGGTTAGCTTATAGAATATTACTGACAATACCTGTTAGTATAGCTTCAGTAGAAAGAAGTTTTTCAAAATTAAAATTAATAAAATCTTATTTACGCTCAACAATGTCTCAAGAAAGATTAAATAATTTGGTAATTTTATCAATTGAAAAGGATTTTTATTATCAAAGCTTGAATATAAAAATTTAATTAGTAACTTTGCATCTCAAAAAGCCAGAAAATTAAAATTTATATAAAATCTATTTTTTAAAAACTAATTTTTTTTTAAAAAAAGTATTAAGACCCTAAATATGTTTCTCTGCCTAGAGTCTCAAAAATGCTTGAGACAGCCCTGGCGTTATTATGTCCATGCTCATTGTATCTCCCTCATCTACCTTGCTTTCTACGTATATTTGTGCACAAAACCACTCATATCTACATCTCGCTGAGAGAATAGTACTATAAGCTCAGAAGCCCGCATGCTCTGCATTAATGTTGCCGGCCCATAACACTCGCAACAATATTAAATTTTCTGACCTCCAGCCATGAGTTGGTAAACCAATCAAAGTCGTGCATTAAAGTCTAAGCTCTACCCAACCAACCGAGGTCCTCTCCTCTGCCTATTTATGCAGACAACAGCAAATAGAAGAATAGTAGAGAGTAGCTAGAGACAATAGAATCACCACGGTTAATTAATCCCATCATTTATTTCTTATATTGTCTCTAAAATAATAACCCGGATTATGCGATGAGAATTTTGTTCTAAGCTTGGATGTGGCAGGTCCTAATGAGATGGTATCTCTGGTCCATGCTATGGCGGAGAAAGGGCAAAAAAGTAAGTGTCTTTGCTACAACCTCTCCAGTTAATAAGGTCTTTTCTTAGGTCACGTGTTAATATTATACTTCGTTACTTGACGTCTTTTTGTGGGAGATGATTTTTTAAGATTCAAGACTTGGTCGGCAATTTTTGGATTAGATTTTTTTTTTCTCGAAGGGGTGTCATGAGCCAACATCATGCGACTGTCCTATAGGTTTTTATAAATATGTCAATATATATAGTGTGTAAATTTCATCAATACAAATATAAAGTAAAGAACTTACGAATATAGGAGGACGAAGTCATATTAATGGCATCTCTTTTTATCTGCGTATCATGTGGATGATAAAAGGTAAAAATATAGGAGGATGAAGTCATATTGATGTAATACATGCACATCATACAATTTTACAACTAGATAACAATATATATATCAACCCAGGGACCCTAATCATATTCATTTTACATCTCTTTCAAAACTCCACATTTGAATACATTTGACAGCGCACAAGAGAAGCACCCCCAGAGAGCAGCTTCAGCTACGAATGTCATCTCTTTCATTATCATCGGATTGAAAAAATTTACTACTTTGCATTGCCTGCATTTCTACAAACTAATAAGATGCTCAGAATTGTAATTGTAATGCCGCACATTAAAAATTGACTTGCTTCCATTTCAAAAAAAAAAAAAAACCAATGACTTTCTTGTAATGTGGCTGCATGCCTCAACTAACGTTCCAGTTTAAAGCTTCAGAACCTCTTCACCGCGCTCATGATTGCATATCATGGAGAGAAATGAGCAATGTGTCTTAGATGTGACAAAACTTTGGTTAATATGAAATTGGGAGTTAATAACTAGCTTTTAGCAACTGGAGCTATTGCCTCATACTATAATGACAGCGCACAAGAGGTGATTTAACTTATAGCACTTTAAGAATTGGTCAACAATTTCGGATTGTCCTTTTCTCTCAAACACCTCGCATAAAAGACATCAAGTAATTGTTACCATCTTAACACATGACCTAAAAAAAGACCTTATTCACTGGAGAACTCGTAGTCATAACAAAATTACATGTACTTTGATATTATTGTAAGTATTATGAGCTAGCAACATTAATGCAGAGTATGTGGGCTTCTGAACTTATAGTTGCATTCTCTCGGTGAGATAAAGAGAGATTGGGTTTGTGCACAAGTATACAAAGAAAGCAAGGTAGAGGAGGGAGATACAATGAGCATAGACTCAATAATGCGAGATCACAAGCAACAAACCTCATATGATGCATGAAGTGCTGCTTTGTACTACTCTCTAATACAAAGATTCTCCAAATGTGTCCATTTCGCTATGCGGTGAGTATATTCCATCTATTTCTCTTGAGATTTACTAAAGCTAATTATAGACTACGTTGAAACTACTTGAGATTTACTAAAGCTCATCATTGAGTACTCTCAAATTGTTTGACAAACTTTGATTGCGGATATAGAGTCATTGATGCAGCCAAGAAAGAACCGAGTATCTAAACCCTTAATCTTCGAGAATACCTTCTAATATGTTGTTCTTATAAATAATAATAATCATATCTATTGTAGTCATTTCTAATACTTAGAAAATTCTATCAATAGCAAATGTCATCTCAATTTCTCTTAAAACCAAAAGCAATGGTTATGACCTTCTTAGACTGTGACTAATTTTTTGAATGAAAATTTGTACCGAATCATACTTTTGTTCCTAAAGATATCGTCTTTAAGCCTTCCCAATATATTAACTTATGACAAGAATTTTGATAGATACAATCTTCTCCTGGAAGTTGTGTGGTCTTAATTTCTTCGATGTGTAACTTTGCTATTTTTCTACAAGGGATACTTTTCCAAATAACAAGAAAGAGCGTTAGTTTAGTTAATCCCTGTATAGTCACCCAAATAGCATTATGATCATTATTGTCCAAGGTACTATCACAAAGTGTACACATATCCATTTCTTTCTTGTGTCCACTCAAGAATGAATAACGGTTGTACTAAAAAAATGATCTATGTATTTCTACTTTATTTTGTCAATAAATCATACATTTGCATTCATATTCAACAATACTTTATTTCATATTCTTTCAATAATAGTTGATTCCAAATTGCCCTATATCCTCGTACTTATGGATACAATGTATCTAGCTTGAGATGAACATCCAAAATTTCTTGTTTCAAGATGCGTTCCATGATACAAATTCTTCTTTGTATGTTAGGATTCTATCTTTTAGACACTCAAGGACTGTCTCTAAGCCTTCAGCTACTTTCATTTGATATCCACATTCTCCTTTAAAATTTTTCATCCCAAGTAAACTATTAGGCCTTGTCATAAAGTTCTGAACAAATATATTGGTTTATCTACTAAATTTTGGATTTCTAATTATCTGTTATCTCAAGTGATTCTTGTGTTTTATTTTCCCTCCCACTAAGCTCAGACTGTTGTTGTTTTAACTCAAAGAATTGACGACAACATTACCTTAGTAACCATACAATCACAATCCTTCAAATTATCCGTTCATCTTCGAAGCTCCATTTCTTTTGAGAATATATTACAACATTTTTCTAGAACAACATTTTTTTTTGAATTTTCAACTTTTAATTGCTAGGGTATTACAACATCAAATAACTTCCAACAATAAATTATATTGAACATTGTGTTTTTCGTTTGTAGTACTATGCCAGAGGGCCGTAGGACGCCTACAGTGGAGTTTCTGTGCTAGTTTTTAAGAATCTTGAACCATACTACATTTCTCAAATACGTGGGGAGCCGACGTACAAGGGGTATACGGTTGTGCAGATCCTTATGCATTTTGCAAGGTACAAATTATAGAGGCTTGTCTATCTTGTTAAATATCTCCCGTATGATATAATTAATGACGTTTTTACTTTTTTATGAACAGCTTTAGAAACTGTAATCTTATACCCAGACTAGAGGACGGGGCTAAGTATGAATTAGTTTGTTGTTAGTATTTTAATGGTTAAATCGATGATTGGGATATTACTAATTTGTTTTTTATGATTACATGTTGTAATCGGGCAGGGGAGAATGATGAAAGCATCATATGATGTGTGGTGGAGTACATTGAAGCCAGTGTTGATCGCTATCTTTTTCGTTTCCCATTATTCTCTTTTGTTACTGCCCTACTTCTAATTTCTAATAGATACACCTACTTGTTAATGAATGTAGCTGAAATTTCCAACGACATCGGGCATCAGAAAGGTCATTACCTCATTGTTGGTTCGCCTGGCCGGAGTACACCTGAACATCTTCTTCGTAAGAAAATAACTCTAATTCCTTCAAAACTTGAATGTCCTTTTGTGATTCCTTCTATTTGCTTAATTGCGATTTTTCTATTACCAAGATTTTTTATTTTCGTTTCTGTTGGTGAATAATTTTTATTACACAATTGATGGTCAATTCACGTATAATCTTAATATTAGGTTTTTTCTATATTGGTCCTCAAATCTAAGATATAATTAAATAAGTCCCCTAAATCTAAGCTGGAGATTTGAGAGACTTAATTAAAATATCAGAGATTTAGGGGACTTATTTAATTATAGCTTAGATTTGAGGACCAATATAGAAAAAACCTAATATTAAGATTATACGTGAATTGACCATCAATTGTGTAATAAAAATTATTCACCAACAGAAACGAAAATAAAAAATCTTGGTAATAGAAAAATCGCAATTAAGCAAATAGAAGGAATCACAAAAGGACATTCAAGTTTTGAAGGAATTAGAGTTATTTTCTTACGAAGAAGATGTTCAGGTGTACTCCGGCCAGGCGAACCAACAATGAGGTAATGACCTTTCTGATGCCCGATGTCGTTGGAAATTTCAGCTACATTCATTAACAAGTAGGTGTATCTATTAGAAATTAGAAGTAGGGCAGCAACAAAAGAGAATAATGGGAAACGAAAAAGATAGCGATCAACACCGGCCTCAATGTACTCCACCACACATCATATGATGCTTTCATCATTCTCCTCTGCCCGATTACAACATGTAATCATAAAAAACAAATTAGTAATATCCCAATCATTGATTTAACCATTAAAATACTAACAACAAACTAATTCATACTTAGCCCCGTCCTCTAGTCTAGGTATAAGATTACAGTTTCTAAAGTTGTTCATAAAAAAGTAAAAACGTCATTAATTATATCATACGGGAGATATTTAACAAGATAGACAAGCCTCTATAATGTGTACCTTGCAAAATGCATAAGGATCTGCACATCCGTATACCCCTTGTACGTCAGCTCCCCACGTATTTGAGAAATGTAGTATGGTTCAAGATTCTTAAAAACTAGCACAGAAACTCACTGTAGGCGTAGCCTAAGGCCCTCTGGCATAGTACTACAAACGAAAAACACAATGTTCAATATAATTTATTGTTGGAAGTTATTTGATGTTGTAATACCCTAGCAATTAAAAGTTGAAAATTCAAAAAAAAATGTTATTCTAGAAAAATGTTGTAATATATTCTCAAAAGAAATGGAGCTTAGAAGATGAACGAATAATTTGAAGGATTGTGATTGTATGGTTACTAAGGTAATGTTGTCGTCAATTCTTCGAGTTAAAACAACAACAGTCTGAGCTTAGTGGGAGGGAAAATAAAACACAAGAATCACTTGAGATAACAGATAATTAGAAATCCAAAATTTAGTAGATAAACCAATATATTTGTTCAGAACTTTATGACAAGGCCTAATAGTTTACTCGGGATGAAAAAATTAAAGGAGAATGTGGATATCAAATGAAAGTAGTTAAAGACTTGGAGATGGTCCTTGGGTGTCTAAAAGATAGAATCCTAACATACAAAGAAGAATTTGTATCATGGAATACATCTTGAAACAAGAAATTTTGGATGAAGTTCATCTCAAGCTAGATACATTGTACCCATAAGTATGAGGATATAGGGCAATTTGGAATCAACTATTATTGAAAGAATATGAAATAAAGTATTGTTGAATATGAATGCAAATGTATGATTTATTGACAAAATAAAGTAGAAATACATAGATCATTTTTTTAGTACAACCGTTATTCATTCTTGAGTGGACACAAGAAAGAAATGGATATGTGTACACTTTGTGATAGTACCTTGGACAATAATGATCATAATGCTATTTGAGTGACTATACATGGATTAACTAAACTAACGCTCTTTCTTGTTATTTGGAAAAGTATCCCTCGTAGAAAAATAGCAAAGTTACACATCGAAGAAATTAAGACTACACGACTTCCAGGAGAAGATTGTATCTATCAGAAATTCTTGTCATAAGTTAATATATTGGGCAGGCTTAAAGACGATATCTTTACGAACAAAAGTATGATTCGGTACAAATTTTCATTCAAAAAATTAGTCACAGTCTAAGAAGGTCATAACCAGTGCTTTAGGTTTTAAGAGAAATTGAGATAACATTTGCTATTGATAGAATTTTCTAAATATTAGAAATGACTACAATAGATATGATGATTATTATTTATAAGAACAACATATTAGAAGGTATTCTTAAAGAGTAAGGGTTTAGATACTCGGTTCTTTCTTGGCTGCATCAGTGACTCTATATCCGCAATCGAAGTTTGTCAAACAATTTGAGAGTACTCCATAATGAGCTTTAGTAAATCTCAAGTAGTTTCAACGTAGTCAATAACGAGCTTTAGTAAATCTCAAGAGAATTATAATAGATGGAATATACTCACCGCAAAGGGAAAACATTTTTTTAGGAAGGCGACAATGTCAACAATGAGTTTATCACGCTTCTGGATACTCCCAATCTGTAGAAAAAATAAACTTCCGTTATTGAGATAATTCCAAACATAACCAATAGTGGCCCTTGTTATGGCTCATATATGAGCAAAGTGGTCAAAGAGTAAATTATAAACTCATTTGATGCAATTCAAGCCAACAATTTCATCCACAACTTGATATCAACTTTTGGGATATTATACGGTATCCAGTTTACATCTTCCAGCTTGCACTTGATTCTACATTCAGATTGCCAAAACCGGTGACCTAGAACGTAAAGCAACGATAACAGACAAATGAGTTACGTTTCCAATTTGATCACACATTTAACCCTCTATTATTTGAATTATTTGTACTCCATGAAATCTTTCTATAGGCCTAAATAGTTCAAATATAAACTTTCAATCTTTAGTTGCTTAGAATGTGACGGCGTCTTTCTAACTAAAGCATCTTTCTCTTTTCTGAAGCTTGTGTTTGAAGATATTGAAAGATGCAACCTTCTTATGTCATAATAGTTAACTCAGCTTGTTCTTCAAGTATTTTTTATATCCATGCATGGTAATATAGAAATATTTCTCAGTATATTAAGAAATAAGATATAGTATAAACTGAAATCAAGTGTGAGGTGCTGCGGCCTTCATTCCTTTCTTGTCACATCAGGAATGTCGTGGATGATGTAGGCCTCGAAAAAAAATACTAAATACTTGTTCATTTCATATCAACTATGAGTTTAGACTCCTATCAGAAAACCCACAAAATATTTTAAATTGATACAACAGTGAAAAATAAAGCTACAATAATTTCATATCTGGATATCCCAGTCAAAAGAAAGAACAATCTCTAATTTCATTATAGTAATCACAATCGCACTAACATGAATCATTTCAAAATAATAAATCCTCAAAATTATAAATGAAATATAGAGTGATAGACTTGCGCGAACACTTGTATACACAAATTCAATCCTTCAAAGGAAAATGACCACCTCCGCTCCGCTAACTTTCACATCTTGATCAAACCCTTGATCCAAATTTTAGATTGAGCTTTGATTGTGTAATTATAGACATCTATCTAAGTAGGTGACATGTTGGGTTGAAGGGAATGAGTGGTTATATTTATAGCGTAGGGATGAAAGAGCTGTTACGTAGAGGGAAGGTGAAAGTGTTGCTAGTTAGTTAATTAGGTCCATAACTTATCGTTCAATGAAATCTCCATAACTTATCGTTCAATGAAATCAGTTACAAACTGAGCTTAAAACTTAACTCTTACCATTATGATAATTTCATTAAATGTTATTTTAGAAATTAAACAATAGTATTGCTTAGTAATAATACCAAGGACATTTCAGTAATTATACACGCGATTTTGACGGTATTACTGGGACAAAAAGTTATAACACAGAATGTGCTTTTAGGACAATAATAATTATAAATATTATACTAAAATAATAAATAGATAGATTAGATTAGATATACCCCTCAAATCATAGATAGTTTCAAATTTGCCTTCCAACTAGTAATAGCAATTTCATCCTCCAAATTGTACCCTCAATTTTGCCCCCCATCCTAATTGTTAGAGAATATAATTAAATATTCTGCTTAAATGAATTAGTTCTTTTAAAAAAATGGCTAATTTGCCCATTTTTTTCTTTCCCTCTTTCATTTGTTTTTTCTTCTCCCAACCATAAACCACCAATCTCCAAATGAGTTACTCGGACTTAAGCAGTGGGGTACCCACTCTGCCATAACTCCAACTCACCCTCGGCATCTACTCCTTTGTCACAACTTCCCACTGGTATTCCCATTTGTACATTTTCTGATATTTAGTCCAAAGCGTGATTACCAGTGCATTCTCACTTAAAGGCATTACACCTTATGCTATGCTACAGGGATCTATTTTATTCCAGTCAGGTAATAGCATCTCTCACTGCATATTCTTAGTCATAAATGTAGAATTCATAACATCTACAGAATTTGAGGATATGATATTAAAATGTTGAAGAACTACAACAGTGGGTTATGATGCTAAGCAACCCAGTCATTAGACAACCTATCAGAGTATTTGCACATTTCCCATGTATTCATGGCTACAGTCATGATGCAAAATGATTGACTATTGTTTAGTTGAGGACCAGGATACATCCATGTGCATTTGTTTAAGATGCCATAATATTACATGGCTTATTCCCCAACAGAAAATGCAGGCCCTGACAGCTCCACAGTCCCCTTCCTAGTCCTGTCTCCTCATCTTCTGAACAGATTTGTCTTCCCTAAGATGGAGAAAGATAGAGAGGCAAAGACAGCCAAGTCAAAAGAGGAAAAGAACAGAGGATTCTTGCCCTTTGGCTTGTCTATGGAGGGTAAAAACTTTAACATCAATTTGACTGAGTAAAATTGATGGTTAAATACAATCATACAATTTAGAGGGGAAAATAGCAATTAAAATTGGCCGATGGCAAGTTTAAGGTTACCTACGATTTGATGAACATATACTGAAAAAAACCGTTATATGGTTAGAGAGATTACCTCTTCAGAACGCTTCGTGAATAAGTGGAACTTTGAAATGCCATGCTGAACAGATTCTTCCACATCTGAGATAACTTCCTCCTTGTTCTTCCACATATAATGTGGCAGAACCTTGTCTTTCCACCTGTTGTGGCACACCAACTTTCTCACTTGTATCCCCTAAAAGGAATGAAAATTTTCACAAAGGACTCGTATTGAATTGTTCATTTATTATCATTATATATGAGGTCATTTTTTCATTACCGTCGTGAATGAAGATTGGCTGGACAAAGACACCAGCAGAATCCCCTAAAGCATCTATGCTAGATGCTCTAGCATGGATATCTCTAGCCATGACCTGTAAGGTAATAGAATGCTATTTATGAAGATGATTTTAATCTTGATGTCTGAAAGAAAACAGAAGACATCCGAAAATAACTGAAGTATCCAAAAGGAAGCCTTATTCAGATGCATAAGTAACTGCAATACATAATAGAGACGAATAATCTATGTACACTCATTTACAGAGAAAGAGGTAAGATAGACAGGCACATGCAAAACGTGATGTGAGCTAGAAGCAGGAAATATAACTCACAAACACAAATAACTATAATAATCACATGCTATTATAAACATTCAAATACTATATACAAGACAAAATCCATCAAACAGAATCTACAGGTTACAGGCTCCATTTTTGGTGAAAATGTATAAGAATGGATAGAGAAAATGATTGTACAAGAGAAAGCTCATTTGCCATGATGACTTCAATATTTGTACAAGAGAAAGTTTGTCTGCCAAGATAACTGTAAATATCTATGTACACGGAGATAAGAAGAAAATAAAATACAATCGAGGGTGGCCATTTAAGGGACATAACATACGTCATACAAAAGCCATGGCATGCAACTAGAGTCTACGGACCAGTGCCGGTATGGACAATATGGAGTAGATGATGGAGATATACCTATCATTTTGATCATTTGATGTGGTCGCTATCAGCAAGCCTATTAACGTCGCAGCCCATCAATGAAATGGTCCATTGCACATTAATTGACATGAGAACCACTATCATCCACATGACCTAAGGACTTTATGATGTGAAACGACGTGTGTGTATTCAGGAGATCAACAATTTAATTGATGTTTCGTAATGTTTCACCAACTAATTCACGATCGTGTAGGAAAAATCAATTCAAGACTCCTAAATATTGAGTTAAATTGCACGTATAGTTCTAAACCAGATGAAACTTATTGAAATCAAACGCAATTCAAGTTACTGATGGTAATGTTCGAATCTCAATATCAAAATTCAGTAAATTGTAGAGTCAGCAGATCACACATCTCACCTGCGATTGTAGACAGAATAAATGCAAGCTAAATATGATGCAAATTTCCTACCTAACCGTGCTCTGATACCGAAATGATGTGAAACGACGTGTGTGTATTCAGGAGATCAACAATTTAATTAAAGTTTCGTAATGTTTCACCAACTAATTCACGAAAATGTAGGAAAAATCAATTCAAGACTCCTTAATATTGAGTTAAATTGCACGTATAGTTCTAAACCAGATGAGAGAACCAACCCCTCCCTTAAAGTCCCCCCTAAATTAAGGGATATCCAAGGGATCCCTTGGAGATGCTCTAATGTTCGAATCTCAATATCAAAATTCAGTAAATTGTAGAGTCAGCAGATCACACATCTCACCAATTGTAATTAGGACCGCAGATAATTGATAATAATTTAGAGATGTAATTTAAATGAGGAACTCAACAAAATTTTAATCGTTGAAACTTCTCTTTGAGCCTGTCTTTCATAACCGCCCATGTGTTGATGGGGGCCATTTGGCGAGCTACTCTCATTTGATGGAGGTTAATTGGATCTGGTGGTCGAGGCCTGGTGGAGCTAAGTTGTCGGTGGAGGCGCTGGCGCTGGTGGACTGGAGGCGTGTGAAGATGAGAGGCGGTCGTCGTGGTGGCTGCTCGCGGTGGTGGTGAGCAAGGGAGGGGAGGGGATTCGGTGGCGGCTGTGGGCGGTGTCGGATGTCGTCGCGGAGACAGGCGGTCGGGTCGTGGGTCGAGGCAGTGGCGTTGACGGAGGAGAAGGAGTAGGCGGGCGGCGGCACTTGTCGTCGGAGATGGAGGAGCACGCGGGGGTGCGACGGGGCTGCTCGACGTTGAGGGAGGAGGGCGTCGGGGATGGTGAGGGCTTCGGTTGGAGGGGGGGAATCGCTGGTGAGGAGAAGGGGTGGCGGCTCTGCTTGGAGAAGAGGAGAAGCTGGGGAAATGGGGGAGACAGTTGTCTTCTTTATTTGTAATGGAGGGCTGTGATTTGTTTGATATTGAGTGGATGGTTGGGATAATTTGATAGGGTTGTAATAGCTTGCTGAAAATAAATGGGTGGCTGAGTGAAATGGGGTTTGGATTTTGAAAGAGGGTAGAGAACTACGGTTTCACACACCTAGATCTAATAATTGGGTTTCACACACCAAGTATTATGGGAGAATTTTCATTTCTTTTAGAAAACTCAAATATTTTATTTCATCAATAATTCATCATTTGATTACAAATCAACCCGCCTTTAAATAGGCTTACAAAAGGACTAATCTCTCTCCACATCCGATGTGGGACTAAAACAAAACTCTTATTAAGCAAAACTAACTACAACTCTTATTAAAAGAAAAACAAATGAAAATACAGACTCGACTCTATCACAGCTAAAACCACATCATAGGGATCCGATGCAAAGCTGAAACACGACGTCTCCTGCGCTGATAAACATGTCGAAAGTCCCGTGCACGTGCCTGGATGTCCTGGATGTCCGCATCATTCTCCCCAGGTGGGAGAGAACTCGACCCCGTCGAGTCAGGGGTAGAAAAACTATCATATCGCTCCAGAAGGTCCGGATCAATGCGCTGTAAATCACTGCGGTCGAGCCACGTATCCTCAGCAGGTGATTTTCCCTTCCAACGAATTAGATATCGTCGGGTTCCACCATCTCCAGTAGAGATAATTTCATCATCTAAAATGTTATCAATTGTGTCTGCTGGATTGGAATAAATATCTGGGAGTGGGGGAAGTGAGGGGCTCTCAAAAGAAAGGTCAGGGGAAGGCTCATCAACCAATGGGTTGCTGGGGTTAAAATCAGGACCCTTATAATCCACCAAATCCTCGACATTGAAAGTAGAACTGATACCAAAATCTTCAGGGAGATCTATAACATAAGCATTGTCATTTAATTTCTTTAAGATTTTAAAAGGTCCAGCACTACGAGCATGCAATTTTTTTACAGTTCCTGGAGGAAACCGTTCCGGACGAATCCGAACCATCACAAGATCATCAATATTAAAAGTTTTAAATCTCTTTCTTACATCAGCTCGTAATTTATAGTTAACATTACTCTTTTCAATTTTATCGCTGATCTCCTTGTGTAGTTCGTGCATATGGGATGCAAATGCAGATGCAGACTCAGATAACCTATAGTGATTGGTCATGGGAATGAGGTCAATGGGTTGTCTAGGCCTAAAACCATACACTACTTCATGCGGACTCTTACCAGTTGTCCTATTAACAGATGAATTATATGCAAACTCAGCGATGGACAATTTCAGATCCCAGTTCCCAACATGCTCACCAATTAGAGTACGCAAAAGATTTCCTAGACTCCGATTGATAACTTCAGTCTGGTCGTCAGTTTGAGGATGAAAAGCAGTGGAGAATTTAAGCTTCGTGCCTAACTTATGCCAAAGAGTTTTCCAAAAGTAACTGGTGAACTTCACATCTCTATCAGACACAATAGTCTTTGGCAGACCATGCAATTTGACAACGCCATCAAAAAAGATTTGGGCCACTCTCGAGGCATCAGACGTTCTAGAACAAGGTAGAAAATGGGCCATCTTTGAAAATCGGTCAACCACAACAAGGATTGAATCGTGTTTCCTGAGGGTTTTCGGGAGACCTAACACGAAATCCATGCTAAGATCTTGCCATGGACAATCAGGGACCGGTAGGGGAGTGTACAAACCCGTGTTCTGTTTCCGTTGTTTGGCTAACTGGCAGACATGACATCTCCCAACGCACTTGGTAACATCGCGCTTCAAACTGGGCCAATAGAATCGATATTCTACAGCTTCAATGGTCTTTTCATTTCCAAAGTGCCCAGCTAAGCCGCCAGCATGCAATTCCCACACAAGAAATTCTCGCAAAGAAGTCTGTGGAATGCACAATCTACGGCCTAGAAATAAGAATCCATCTTGAAGGGTATAGCCGTCAATTTCCCGAGTCGTTCCGTCAATCAACATTGCATACATCTCACCGAAGTCGGGACACGACTCATAGTCCGTCTTAAGCCTCTCAAATCCAACAACAGCTGTGGATAATTTTGTCATGACATAGATTCGTCGACTGAGAGCATCAGCAGCCTTGTTGTCAACTCCCGCTTTATGTCGCAAGGTGAAGGTGTAATCCTGAAGAAACTCAACCCAACGTGCATGACGGGAATTCAACTTTTTTTGGGAATAAATATATCGAAGGGATTCATGATCTGAGTATATGACAAATTCTTGCGGCAGCAGGTAATGGCGCCAATGGCGAAGAGATTGAATTATAGCGTAGAATTCTTTGTCATAAGTGGTATATCGCATACGTGTGTCATTCAATTTCTCACTGAAATATGCGATTGGATGGCCTTCTTGAGAGAGAATTCCACCTATGCCAACTCCAAAAGCATCACATGCAACCTCAAAGACTTTGTTAAAGTCTGGCAGGTGCATAACAGGGGCATTAATCATTCTCTCCTTGATTTCTACAAATGCCTTGGTGGCTTCGCGTGACCACTCAAATTCGCCTTTCTTTAAACAGTCGGTGATTGGAGCCATGATCGTGCTAAATCCCTTGATAAACCGACGGTACAAGGTAGCGAGCCCGTAAAAGCTTCTCACATCACGGATGTTCTTGGGCTCAGGCTAATCATTTATCGCTTTGACTTTTTCAGGATCTGCAGATACTCCTTCAATAGAGACTACAAACCCTAAGAATTGAACCTGTGTGGCAAGAAAGGTACACTTCTTTGGATTCACATACAGTTCTTCCTTTCTTAGTATAGAGCAAACTTGTCGCAAATGGTTAAGGTGTTGCTCACGAGATTGACTATAAATGAGGATGTCGTCAAAGTAGACTACCAAAAATTTACCCATGAACGGACGTAGTACTTGCGTCATCACTCGCATGAAAGTACTCGGAGCATTGGTCAATCCGAAAGGCATGACCATCCATTCGTACAATCCATCCTTCGTTTTGAAGGCGGTCTTCCATTCATCTCCAGGACGAATGCGGATTTGGTGATAACCACTCTTTAAATCAATCTTTGAAAAGACAGTAGCGCCAGACATCATATCCAACATATCATCCAAACGTGGGATTGGAAAACGATATTTCACCGTTATCTTATTGATGGCACGGCTATCCACGCACATACGCCACGATCCATCTTTCTTTGGCGTCAGCAACGCGGGAACCGCGCAAGGACTCATGCTCTCTTGGATGAAACCTTTTTTTAGCAACTCGTCAACTTGCCTCTTGAGTTCAGCATGTTCAGTAGGATTCATCCTATAATGCGGCAAGTTGGGAAGACTCGCTCCAGGGACCAAATCAATAGCGTGTTGAATGTCACGCATCGGTGGTAACTTGTCGGGGAGATCTTCAGGGAAAACATCAGCAAATTCCGTGATCACCGGAGTGACTTCAGGAGGAAGGGGGTTGCTAGATTCCTTAGTGACCTCCCTGGCTGTGAGTATCATGACTGGGGCTCCCTTTTCAAACTCTTGACGGATCTCCTTTGTTGTGATCAAGCTAACACCCTTATTTTTCTTTACTGCAATTGGCTTTTGTTCGGGTTGCTTAGTCTTGGGTGCACTGGGGAGTAACTTGATCTTCTTTCCTTCATGTTCAAAATGACACGTGTTTGACCGACCATAAATTGTTACGTCATTATCGTACAACCATGGTCGTCCAAGGATGACATGACCCACATCCATGGCCACAACGTCACACCAAATCTTATCCTTGTAGAGATTAAAGTCTATCGGCACAAGGCATCTTTGTTTGACGTCTAGTGCGGTAGAATCAATCCACGTGACTCTATAAGGGTGCGGATGGGGTACAGCTTTTAGACCAAACTTAGCAAGTTCCGTAGACGATATTGCATTGATGCAACTTCCACTGTCCACAATAACTTTACAAGATTTTCCTCCAATCTTTGTGAATGTGTGGAACATATTTGTTCGTCTCCAATCATCTTGGTCCTTCGGTTGGGTCAAAGCACATCTAACGACAGCTAGTTGACTTGACGGTGTTGATCGAATGCAACCAATACTAATATCATTCTCGTCAAATTCCTCACTTGAGTCAAAATCCTCTTCTTCCACATGATAAACGAATTCATCTGTCTTTGACTCTAATTCTTCAACAGGCTCTCCGTTGACAATGGCGATTTTAACGGGACTTGGACAGTTAGCAGCCACATGTCCATACCCTTGGCACTTGTAACATTTGGTAGTGGAACTGACCTTTGAGAAATTCCTTTCAGTGCCCTTGCCTTTGTTATCTCGTTCTTTATTCCCGCTCGAGGTGTCGGTCTTCTGTGATGATGTTTGAGCTTGAAATCGATTTGGGTATTGACCCAAAGTATATTTGTGTCCTTGTACGGAATTCTTGAAAGTGGAGCTAGACCTCGTAGTATCTAAGTCCTGAACTACAGCGTAGGCTTTCTCAAGCTCAGAAATTCCTCGAATCAAAAGTTCATTCGGCAATCTTCTCGAAGCTCGCGGGCCTCTAAATCTAGGAGAGAGTTTGTGTGGATTTTCAGTGTTCAAAGCATTACACTTGAATTATGGAACCTCCTTCAATGAGTAATATAATCCAATCTAGCGGATTTATTACCTTGTGTAAATCGTTTCCAGTTTGTCGAGAAGGCGATCGTGTAATGTAGGCAGGTACGTATTGCTCTTTGAGACTTGTCTTTCATAACGCCCATCCGTGTTGAATGGGGGCCATTTGGCGAGCTATCTCCTCATACATTATCCAAGTTTAGGGCCAAGCTATATTGGCTAGCCCTGCCAGTTAGTTTCGAATTGGCGCATTTTGACTCTTCTGCTCTTCAATGGATACAGTTGAAGTAATCGTCCACTTGATCGAGTCCCGATTCCTGAAGAATTTTTAGGCTCCGATCGTCTCATCGAAAGTAGGAAGGGCGCAGCGTTAATGCCTCTTCAGGTATCGTTGTGCGATGTCCTTGAGCATACGTCTTTGGTAGGTTCTGATTGGTAATGCTCTCAATTGTGCGTCCGTTGTTTTTGTGTCCCACGTGTTTTCTAACCTCCTGTAATCTCTCATGCAATCTTTCACGATCCCCTTCTTGTGGAGATTAGACGAACCTCGCCACGCGCTTGGGTCAAAGCGTTGAGATTGACTCATGAGCATCGGCTAATGGGAACGCTTAGAAATCTTTCATGTGTCGACTCGCTTAGACTCTCCTAATAAGTAGGTTTGACCAACCTACAGGAAGTGGCATGCCACTATCCAGCCGCCAAACCAAACTAAATGATGTGATTTTTTTTTTGAAAAATGCGATTGTAGACAGAAATAAATGCAGCTAAAATTATGATGCAGAATTTCTACTAACGCTGGCTCATGATACAAAAATGATGTGAAACGACGTGTGTGTATTCAGGAGATGCAACAATTTAATTGAATTTCGTAATGTTTGCACCACTAATTCCACGATCGGTGTCAGGAAATCAATTCAAGACCTCGCTTAATATTGAGTTAAATTGGCGCGTATAGTTTAAAGCCGGGATGGACACTTTTTTTTTTTGTCTTTATTTTTTTTTTTTTTTTATGAATCAAACGCAATTCAAGTTACGATGGTAATGGTTCGCAATCTCAATATCAAAATTCAGTAAATTGTAGAGGTCAGCCAGATGCCACCACATCCACAATTGTAATTAGACAGCAGATATTGCATAATATTAAAGAGATGTATTTTAAATGAGGAACTCAACAAAAAATTGTAATCGTTGAAAGAGGAAGCTACCTGATTGGGAATTGCCAATGGCTTTGAAACTCACTTGATTATCTTCTTACTGGTTCGCTTTTTGTGCCAGGTTATTGGATCCGGTGGTCGAGGCCTGGTGGAGCTAAGTTGTCGGTGGAGGCGCGTGGCGCTGGTGGACTGAAGGCGTGTGAAGATGAGAGGCGGTCGTGTGGTGGCTGCTCGCGGTGGTGGTGAGCAAGGGAGGGGAGGGGATTCGGTGGCGGCTGTGGGCGGTGTCGGATGTCGTCGCGGAGACAGGCGGTCGGGTCGTGGGTCGAGGCAGTGGGCGTTGACGGAGGGAGAAGGAGTAGCGGGCGGCGGCACTTGTCGTCGGAGATGGAGGAGCCACGGGGGGCGTGCGACGGGGCTGCTCGACGTTGAGGGAGGAGGCGCGTCGGGGATGGTGAGGGCTTCGGTTGGAGGGGGGGAATGCGCTGGTGAGGAGAAGGGGTGGCGGCTCTGGCTTGGAAGAAGAGGAGAAGCTGGGGAAATGGGGAGACGGCTTGTGAGTGGGGAAGGGGAATTAGATGCTAGGGTTTCTCTTCTTTATTTGTAATGGAGGGCTGTGATTTGTTTGATATTGAGTGGATGGGTTGGGATAATTTGATAGGGTTGTATAGCTTGCTGAAAATAAATGGGTGGCCGAGTGAAATGGGTTTGGATTTTGAAAGAGTGTAGAGAACTAACGGTTTCAGCACACAGCTAGATCTAATAATTGGGTTTCACACACCAAGTATTATGGGAGAATTTTCATTTCTTTTTAGAAAACTCAAATATTTTATTTCATCAATAATTATGCTATTTGATTACAAAATCAACCCGCCTTTAAAATAGGCTTCAAAAGGACTGAATCTTCTCTCCACATCCGATGTGGGAGCTAAACAACAAACTCTTATTAAGCAAAACTAACTACAACTCTTATTAAAAGAAAACAAATGAAAATACAGACTGCGACTCTATCACAGAGCTAAAACCACATCATAGGGATCCGATGCAAAGGCTGAAACACGACGTCTCCTGCGCTGATAAACATGTCGAAAGTCCCGTGCACGTGCCTGGATGTCCGCATCACTTTAAAGCCCATTTTAATGTGGATCACATGCATCCATGTATGCATCTACATATGCGTCTACACCCATGCACATGCATATCAGTATGTCACATATGTTGATCTTGGTCTTGCTTGTTTCAAGAAATGAGGAGTTTTTTAGTAAAGAAGATGGGTTACCAAGAATCCATTCCCAAACAGTTGGAAAGGAAGGAATGGATTATATGCTACAAGCTAACCAGGAAGGATGACCGGGATCTTCTATTAATGCAAAAAGAATTGGAAAGGACAGTGCGTATCAATGGAACTTTAAACGGAAGCATCTATCTTCAGATATATAAAAATACTGACACATTTTGCAAAAAGAATTGCAAAGGACAGTGCATATCAATGGAACTTTAAGCTGAAGCATCTGTCTTCGGGTATATAAAAATACTGACATATTTCAGACCAAAACAAAGAACAAAAGCAATCCGTATCATACCAATAATCCTAACCCTTTTCCTGCTTTAGGTAGCATGCAAGGATATTTAAAAAGGAAAAATTAAAATGTACTTCTTGGCTTTCATAACACAATGGGTATATCAGTATTTATTATAGCTGAAAACAATTATCTCAATCGCTGGCATGTATATTGCTTTTGCTCAGATTTGTTGCTACCTGTTGCACCAACCCTTGTGATTCATCATAGGCTACCTCGAGTCTAAAAAACTCTGATGGAGTAAGCTAAACTATAAATTAAAAAAAGCTTGGAAACTATGACACATTTCACCCTAATCCTAAGCACCTAAATGAAGATATTCGCAGTAACACTAACACCTGATCACTAGCTTCATACGCAATCATTCAAACGTGTCAAAGATAGTTGTCAAATAAGAGCACACTTCAAAACTAAAGCCCGCTTTACAATTAGGTCTGAAGGCCGTCGCTTGGGCCGCTTAAGAATACTTAAAATCCTGATTTAAAACAACTGTCAAATAAATGGTGTGGGCCGTGCTTGGCACGAGTCTCAGTACTGATACCAATATTGAAAAATTCTAGAACATTCGAGAGCCTTCTACCCCCACGATCATTTCTCCTAAACGACATTTTCCGTTCAATTGAATGGGGGTGAATGAGGAGAGAGTAAAAAAACCCTGGAATTTTCTCTCCAGTCTAGGGTTTTTGTACTCTGTACGCACACTTTCTGTCCACTCTAGGGTTTTTACTCTTTCCAGTCTAGGGTTTTTAATCTTGCCTCTCTAACGCGATCTAGGTTTTCTAGACGATTTCTTGATGTCACCAATAGATTCCTCCACCTTCGGTGCTTTCTCGATGTCATCAAGAAATTTCTCCACCTTTGGTGGTTTCTTATGTCATCGAGAAATTTTTCCACCTTAGCGGTAACCTTCGATGCAAAAATTCTATACTTGTGTTCGTTTTCAATAATTTACATTGCAAATTAATCTAGTTGATTTCAAGATTTACTTATCTTGTAATTCCTTTTTCTTCTTTGTATATTTTTTTTTAAATTTCAAAAAAAGGGAACAAATCTCACCATTAACTACGGTAGTGAGCTTTTGAATCCCTTTGCTCTTTGCTTCCAAAATGTCGGCACAAACAATGTAAGGCACATGTATCCTATATTTGTTACATCAATTAAGATTGGCAACAGTTATGGCTTTGGTGGTCAACATCATTATGGATAGGGACTTATGAGCTGTTAAAATTTAAACTGCCAACTTAGACCTTGTATAAAGAAGCAAAATGATTTGCTTCTGCATCTCCTCTTATTCTCTTAGAGCAAGTCCAGCAAGCTCCGATCTCTGCTCTCAAGGCCGACGTGGCGAAGGATGTTGCCAGCCCCCCTCCATCGCATATTAACGCTCAAATTCCAAATCCATCTGTTGCTTTTCATCTTATTTTACATTTTTTCTTTGTCACTCAAATAACCAGACCCAGCCCCAATTCAAAACCCCATTCCATCGTCTTCCTCTCCGTCTCTCTTCAACCCAATTTTGCAAAACCCAAAATCCCAAAATCCCCCAATCCCTTCGGCCACGACGGACCAGCCTCCTCCTTTTGGCCTCTGGGTTCCTCGTCGGCGACGACGGCCACAGCCACGACGACCACCTCCTCCTCTTCGGCGACGCGGTCCTCTTCGCGTCCTCTCGCGTCGTTGAACTGGTTCGTATGGGCTTGTTGGTTGGGGGGGAGGGCTTGTGTAAAATTCCACCCCAGTTCGGAGACTCCCGAAGCGCTCCACAAATTTGTGGAGCGCCTTCGGAGCTCTGAAGATCCACCGCCATGTCGGCCTTGAGAGCGCGTGGCGAGCGGCTTCAGAGCTTGCTGCGAGCTCAGC